AATGAATGAATGAATGAATGAATGAATGAATGAATGAATGAATGAATGAATGGACTGGTTGGCAGACTGTAATCCTGAACAAAAGAAACATTTCACAGTGCAACATTTTCAGGTGTATCCCAGTTGTATTTAACTATGCCTGTAACTCAAACAAATAAAATAGTACATCTTTTCTCAAGTGTACAAGCATGACAGTATATAAATGAAGTTTTTGAAACTGGTTGCCCAAACTGCTTTACATGAAGTCCTTCCACTAACCCACACTTCTTTAGGGAGGACTGGTATTAAGAAGTAGAAATCTGTGTGAAAAATTCCATGGACTTATTTAACCAGGAGTCCTCGGGAACCACAAAGTCCCCAACATCCTTTAAAGTTCTTCAGCCCCAGCAAGACCTCTAGGAAAACAATCACTTAGAAATCAAAGACATTACATGACTGATCACAATTAGTATATGTTTGTGGGTATTGTTTTGGGTAGGCAATGAGATGACAGAGCTCTGTGTGGGAGAGAAAAACTATTGTATATCTGCACTGCAGCTTTTAGAGCTTTTTCCAGATGGTACAATGCCTACTGCAGCCTGGTGTAGAAGACAATTTGTTAGGAAACTCAATGGCTTATTTCACAAACATTTAAACTCTACAGTTGTAATAGTGGAAGCATAAAATATTCTAATGTAAATAATTACACAAAGCTCAAAGTCTCTCTATCACCATTTCTTCAGAACCTGAAATTAAAAGTTTGAACTTGGGACATGAAAAAGGAAAATTTTTGGCAGAGAGAACATTACATGACAATAATGTTCTCATTGAGAATATAAATCTATCCTAATAAAAAAAGACTATCTGCCTAAACTATCCAAAGTATAATAACCAGTGAATTTATTTGTTGTTTTCATATTGCATGTTGCCTTTCTGTTCTCCTGTAAGCTGCTTTACATAGTCATTTGGATAAAACAGCAGAGTAGAAATAAGTCAATATTAATAAACAATAGGGACAAATTAGAAGCAACAGAGAAGTGCAACAATGCAATTTGAGTCAAATCGCTATAAAACATAATATATTGAGGGATTTTTTTTTCTTATTTTAATTTTTTTGAATAGCATAAAAATTGAGAGTGAATGCTGCAA